AGCCGGTACATCATTTCAAAGGTCCTAGAAATAGCATCCCTTAGACGTCCCACGTGGTACATATTGTAGAATGTCCATGCAACGACTTCCTTGGCATGTCCCTGATGGGATATGATTTCGAACGTTCCTTCAGGGACATTCATCGGATGTCCCGAGTAGTACATATTCTGGCATGACTTCAGATCTTATATAATGCTCCTTCTAGACAACCATGAAATCTCCCGGATAGTACATTCCTTCAAATATCTCTGCACAGACGCTCTCAATATTTCCAGGATCATATAACAATCCAGATGTCTCTTAGACACATCCTTAGAATATCCCTTAGGACTATCTGTCGGATGTGTCAATCGGTACATGAACTGTACTCATCCAATGTCTCAGAAATAACGGACGTTCCAGTCGGTACTTTCAATATGTTGAACCTGCGAGGACGTTAACTCACACCTCGCCGACGAATGATTGCTCGCAGGCTATAAATACTCCCTGTCAATGTCCTTCACGAAAGTCCATTGGACATCCTCGAGAAACTTTTTCAGGATCTATTGGGGATCTTCTACGGACCATCAACTCAACTGGATGTCCTCATCAGTTATACAAGATCTGGTCCTATAGGAAAAATTCAAATTCAAGAATAGTTCGTACGACCCTGAGACATCCTATGGACATCCAATTGATATCCCTCAGCGTTGCTGATAGGTTGTCCTTAGGATGTCCTCCGTAGTGCTTGATGAGGAATACTGTAGGATTGTAGTTGTCCCTGGGACATCCCTCAAAGACGTCCCTAGTTGGTCCTCAAGTGGGATATTTGTGTGTCCCACAGACGTCCAATGGACATCCACGGTACCAAATTCGAACGTCCTATGGACGTCCTGAATGTCGCGATAGGACGTCCTAAGGATACCCATGGGACATAATTGTGTTATTAGGGTCCAAAAGGCATAATCACGTCCAAAAATCTGTCACTACTTGCCGGTCTATATATAGGTACTAAGTAGGAAGATGATTATCCAGCTCAATAATTTAGTCGACTAATTCAATGAAACTTAAACTCCCTGTGTTCGTTAATTCATTCTTACAAATGACAGATACGATACATAAATAAACACGATCAGGGCTTCTCAAATTTCAGTTTCCTTCTCCAACTGCTCTGTTTCGTAGCATTGAAGGGAGACAGAAAAGGGTGAATTATGAAGGACAATGAAGCGGTAGCGCCAGTCACATGTGCGAAGGTGTTTTATACGAGTTTCTTGAGTGCGATCGTGAACTGGTAGGCGGGAGTGAGTAAATTGCCCTGAGAGATTGAAGTAAGGCCTGAAAACGAAAGGCTCCCAACTACTGTGGGTCATAGTATTGGTGGGTGTGCCACCATGTATCGAAAAATATCGGTTCCAGAGGCCGATACATTATTTTTGCCAAAACATCAGATACTAACGTACTGTTGATATTTACTTTTATTTTTGATATGCCGGAATTTTTGGAAGGTTGAAAATGGTGCTTAATTTTTGGAGACCACATTGGTCTCACACGGCCCCTCATACGACCATTTTGTTCAGGCGGCTGCGCGAGACCAACGTGTCACTACGCTATGCGCATGTCTGCTTGTTGAGAATTGTAGCGGGGAACCGGCAGACTTGTCTCGTGATGCTGCAAGAGTCACATAATGTCCTCGTACGAGAAAGAACAAAAGCAATTGACGAAGTCACAGATGTTATGTCAGAAGGTGTTGTCCGATGAAGTATCTAACAGTAGGTATATTGTTCAATGAATGATATTCATTTCATTCTCAGAGTAGAATATTCTGAATGATTTTGTTACATGTTCATGATGTATAAATGAAGAAAACTAATAAAAGTACCTATATATTTGCGTGAGAAGAATGAAAGATTACTAACATTTCCTAGCCACGTACTACCAATTTGGTCTCTCATATCGACAGGCCAAAATATGTCTCTGGACCACCAGGCCGCGCTGTTTCGAACGCCATTTAGTTCACAATGCTGCGAGAGACCGCTGTGGAGATATGCAGCCAAATCAGTTGTGGATATATGCGAGATCATATTGGTCTCACGCGGTCACAAAGTCAGAAGTATGTGCGAGACCATGTTGGACTCTCACGGCACTCAACCTGTTAAGTACCTACTAGGAAATCTATCAAGCAATGAGCGCAATAATGAGAACGTATTACACAAGATCAAATAAAAATCAAGGAAGCATCAGTATCGTAGTATCGCATCCATATAAAGGGTGTTCGCGAAAAGGAGGTCAACGCAATATTCTGTGGACAAATGGACAGAAATATTTTTTTGAAGTTCTCTTTCATAACTTGGTATTTATGAAATTTTGATTAGATTATTTATTACGGAGATATTGAAAGAAGTATTTTTAGTCATTTATTGGTTACACGCGGCTTACGAACTATAATACTTCTTGGGTGTTGATTGTTTTTATAAGGGTGTAAATTTGAAAACTTCCGATGCGAATATCTCGCGAAAGACAAAAGTTAGAAAAACGCCGTTTGGCAAAAATGCTGAAGAGTTAAGGGGAACTAGAACCACCATATTTCGGTCAAGGGATGAGTCACCCCGTCGGCGCGACACACCCCAACTTTGAAATGTCAAATGGCACTACCTTTTTGTGATGCCTCAAATGAACAGTCTCAGTCAGTAGTATTCACCTGTACAAGACTTTTTTCCCACCCACTACAGGGTGTACGAAAAATATAAAGTCGAATAAAATAAAATGAATTGTGTTAAAAGGATATTTTATTTGATCAGATGTTCGAAATGCATTCCATTCTGTTGTAAGCAATAGTATAATCGATGTTCAAATGCCATTCTAACATTTTGGAACACATTTCTTGGAATATATCGGCATTCTGCATTTCATTTTATTCGAATTTATGTTTTCCGTTCACCCTGTAGTGGGTGGAAAATAAGTCTTGTACAGGTGAATACTACTGACTGAGACCGTTCATTTGAGGTATCACAAAGGAGGTAGTGCCATTTGACATTTCAAAGATGGAGTGTGTCGCGCCGACGGGGTGACTCATCCCTTTACTGAAGTATGGTGGTTCTAGTTTTCCCTAACTCTGTAGCATTTGTGCCAAACGGCGTTTTCCTGATTGTTTTATTTAGCGAGATATTCGCATTGAAAGTTTTAAAATTAAGACCCTCGAATTAATGTTTTCCGTACACCCTGTAGTGGGTGATAAAAAGTCTTGTACAGGTGAATACTACTGACTGAGGCCGTTCATTTGAGGTATCACAAAAGAGGTAGTGCCATTTGACATTTCGAAGTTGGGGTATGTTGCGCTGACAGGGTGAATCATCCCTTCACTGAAATATGGTGGTTTTAGTTCCCCTTAACTCTTTAGCATTTTTGCCAAGCGGCGTTTTTCTAACTTTTTTATTTCGCGAGATATTCGCATTGAAAGTTTTCAAATTTACACCCTGTATACCTACATATGAAATGTTTACTGTGCATGACAAGTTTATGACGTTATTGATGATTGGCACCCTGAACTAGGAATAACAATAATCATTTTCACTACCATAGATTTAGATTAGATTGGAGCCTTCGGCACTGTACCTCAGGTCTATTGTGTTTGTCCACGTAAACGTTAACGAGCTCTATGCCTATCCCCATTCACTCTTTTAGACTCTATAGGCTAGCTTTTAAATCCCCTATGTAGCTTTGAGCTCTTGCTTTCTCTTCTCTCTGAGCGTGAGGAACCTTAGTCTTCACAAGCTCTTACAGTTGCAAATAATGTGGGCTGTTGGTTCCTTCTCTTCCTGACAAAACTCGCATATAAGCTCTTCAGCCAGGCCACTTGTTCCATCATCCTTAAGATTTGCTTTGCCATCATGATTGAATGCTTGACTCTCGTATATAGTTCTTGTTTGACCACAAAAGGGTTCTGGTCTATTCGAAGCTTTGCTTATTCCAACTCGGGCTGGTGGAACCGCCTTTTCGTTATACCCTCATGCCTTTTTTTGCTGGTCCCTATGCTATACAGTTAGTATACATTCTGACTGCTCAATTCTTTTAGGGCTTCTCAGTAGTCCCAAACATTTTCTATATGTTCTGGTTCCCACGAAAAGAAATGTTTTGAATAAACTTGCATTGCGTTTATTGCTTTGATTATCGCGTAACTGTCTGAGTAGATTACAATGCATGGTTTTCCTTATAAACTCTGGCCTATCAACTCTTTTGTCCAGTGATGTATTACGACAATTTGTAGCTCGAAAACACCGTTGGAAATTCATCTAAGCTCAGTGGGAAGATCCTTTGATTTTCGAATTTGGCTTGGCTCCATAGATATCAGATTTCAAACCTTCGGATTACACTTCCATAGCATTTCGTGAGTAGATTCGTATCTACTCACTGCATCGAAAGTAAGCGTTTGCTTCCTCATCTAAGGATGGAGGGAAAAAAATACTTCCGTGGAAGGTAAAATAAATTGGCCTGTTTGCTCCCTTGGTAGTTGGTAGAGATAGGTATACGTAAAAGATATGTGCTACATAAGTACCCAATCAGTGTATCCATCACTACTATTCATAAAACGAATAACCAACTTTTTGAACTCCAATGATTTCATACACTTCTTCCTTCTCCAAACTTACTCAATCGGAACTCCAGATGAAATGCAATTACACAAACAAATTCGATGTGACAGAAGTGACAAATTGATTTTCCATCAGGTGCTTTTATCTCTCAGTTTCATAGTCCTTGTGCGAGATAGGTACATTCAATAATGTTGATTTCACGTTGGTTTTTCAGTAGAATATATAGCCAGTGACTGAATCAAAAATTAATTCGTTCATCATCGAGTGATTGAAACATTTCCATCGTCCATTAATAATCACTAATAACCCCCAATCTACGAGGCGATGAAACAGCAGTGACTCTTCAAAATCGCTCATTGTTCGCTAAGAGCATCTGTCCGTTGATGCCCTCCCATCTTATTCGAAACATTCAAAATCATTGTTTTGTTACAGATAACCAAGCTGAAGATTGACAGCAATCCATTTGCTAAAGGCTTCAGGGACTCGTCCAGACTCACCGAATTCGAAAGGTATGCGCATCTCATTAATGAATTGATTTGAAGATATTTCATTTATGTGTTGGAAGGTCTCAGTGGTAGTCCAAAATATGTCAGGTATTCTACCGGGTGTCCACGAACCGATAAAAAGCTATATAGGAGAATAGCGAACATATTATTGGCGACATATATGTATAGTGAAATTTCGTGAGGTCTATGAATGACAATTCTTTTGATCTCTACAATGATGTTTTTGAACACGTGGCTACATGAATCATGGTTTCTTCAAATGACATACCCTGTGATTTTTGACTAATTTCGATTTGCCTTCTTCTCGTTTTATTATTTTCGCAATTAATTTGCGGCGTTGCCATCAGTAAATTAGTATTCATTTTGCTATATAGATTGTTTGGGATTTCATCTCTTTGTTTCAATAAAATAAAAATATGATGAGTATCATATGATTTGCCTCAAAATTTCACAGCGTTCAACATTTTCTCATCAGAGAGCCTTAAAGAAAAAGACATATAGACAAATCAAAATTAGCTGAACATATTATCATTTCATTACCTACTGAAAATGGACAGCATATGGCACAGTGAAATGATATTGAAATCATCGGAAAGAAAGATATCATCCAAAAGAGATATTCAAGGAATTCGCTTTGCTTCCTGTTTAGTTGATATAGATAGAACATGGTATTCACTACTGAAAACTGAACATGAAAATGGTAGATTCAAGATCAATTTATGAAAACATCATGTAACTCATTTGAATGCCAACATCGAAGTCTGTCATTAAGAAGTGTCACATTGAGAAGACAATTTGAAAAGATAATATCTTGCATTTTTCATGCTGAAAACGGAGATTCGTTCCCGAAACGTCCAAAGATAAGTGAATATCTGATATTTTTCAATATATCTATATCTCTTATTCCCTACAAAAAAAATTTCAAAACGTATCACTGATAAAGGATACATTATTCTTTCAGCCTCTTTGATAGGAACACTTCCAAATGCAATGACATTTTGGGGCAAATCATCATATTTGTCCTACAACACGATGAGAGAAAATGAAAATGAATGTATCTCTCCTCCATTAAGATACAGACATTATTCAAATTAGTATCATTTAGAAGAATTATCATACACAGATGTTGATTCCTATCAGAAACTAAACTTGTGAAGGACTTCGATGATACTCTGATTAATGCTTCAATGGAACCATAACATTCTGTATATTTCTGTAGAAATTCACTCTTATTTTCATTCTCTTTCATTTAATGTCATATTTCCAATTGAACTGGTCTGTATTTTTCAAGAAAAATATAAATCCTAGCCCTAGATTATAGATTCGTATCACCAATGTGGCGAAAAGCATAAGTTTGAAAGAAGAACCAATGAAAATGAGACATTTCTGATATTGCTAATACTGCAGCAAATTTCATCGTTATTCGAAACGAGCAAGAAATATCTCCAAATTCTATGGAACAATCCCAGAATGGTGACAATAAATTTCAAAATTTCGGTAAAAAATCTCAAAATCTTGAGATTCCGATGGAATGAGAAAATAATTGTGGTGCTAATACACCGTCGTATACCGGGTGTTCCTCAAAAGTGGCTCATCTCTCTAACTTTTTTGTTTCTTCGAATGAACAAATGAAGTGTGAAGCATAGTACATAAATATGCCTTATTTGACATATTCAATTGTTTTCTGTCACTTCATGTTCGTCCGGAAATGACCCATATGTACTTATTTTAAACGGGAGACCCGGTGTATTTTTACTGATTTCGAAAGAGAATAACATTGTGAGGACAATGACACCCCATTTTCTACTTTTCGAGATTTATCATCCTGAAAACTGGATATTGATTCAAATTATCGATTATGTTGTATCAATGTGTTCGTGAACTATTTTGCCTAGTCAACTGTTTCAACTTTTTCATGGCACTCTGAAATTGAAAAATGTAAATTTCACGATGATAAATTTCTAAAAATTGCAAATCAGGTGTCGCTATACTCACAATGTTATTCTCTATCGAAATAAGTGGAATATACCGGGTGTCCCATTTGAAATGAGAAAATATGGGTCATTTCCGGTCAAGTCGAGAGTGACAGAAAACAACTGAATACGTCAAATAATGCATATTCATGTACTATACTAACAAACCGAATTTTATTTGTTCAATTGTAAAAACAAAAAAGTTATGGGGCTGAGCCACTTTTGAGAAACATCCGGTATACGTGCTTCCTCGTGAGTTAAAGAAATGGATCATGACCTTGATCCGAAATTCCCTATGGACCATCACCAGAACCCGCACCTACACCGACAATACTAACCATTACTAGTTTTCTCGATTACAGGGAGACCATGGAATCCATGCTCGCCGAGCAGCACTACTTCCGCTCCCCCCTACGTCCATTCGAAATGGACACGCACAACAACAACCTCTCCCTGGAGGAGAAGGCCATCCTGGCCGCCCGCTCGCAGCTGTTCCTGCGCGCAGCAGCCGCAGCCGCCGGCCCCTACGCGCCCCTAATGGGTGGCCTTTACGGCGCAGGCGCATCCCAGAGCCAGGCCGTACCGCCCGGCGTGCTGTGGAACCAGTGGGCGTGTCTCGGCCCGTCCCTACTGGCCGCGCAGCACCAGCACCAGCTGGCCGTGGCCGCGGCGGGCGGCTCGCAGCTGCAGGCCCCTATTTCGCCCCTGGCAAGGCCCCTGGCGCAGCACAGGTTCTCGCCTTATGCACCGCAGCAGCGTGCTTCGCCAGATACGAGTTTGAGGGACGACAGAGAGTCGCCTAGCAGTCCCTCGTAAGGGATGCGTGTTATTGTGATAAACGTGTACGGGGTGGTTCACTTTGTGTAGGATTTCAGGGTTCAAGGTGCGGTTGAATATCGAATTATTATCGAAATGGAATATTCTCAGATATATTCATGAACATAAAAAAATGGATATACAGGGTGCCTGTAAAAGGTTGGGACATGGCTCGGCTGTGGACTCCTGGGACAAAATCAAGTTGATGTAGGTCAACTTACCTATATCCAAAATCGTCTCGTTGAGTCGGTACAGAAGTTGAAGTTTTTTTGGAAAAAAATAATTTTGCTCATAAAAAGGGTACCCTAACAACACAGGGATGTCTTAGGTACGTCCCGTTTTTGTCCCGCGGTACAAGGACATGATTGGGGCATCCAGGGGATGTCCCGCAGTGGTTGTCCAGTGGACATCCCGCCCGGTACATCCCTAGGTTATCCTATTCGTGTCCCTGGAATATCTGATATCCATTCACATCACAGTCATTGAATTTCATCAAAGTATTAAGTTGCATTATTTTGAAAGGGTTTGTTTTTCTTCCGGAAAATAAATGTAATGAAAATAAAGAATGAAGTTTCAGAACTACTTGAGAAATGACCATTTTTTCGCAAACAGAAATCGTACATGCATAATGCCCTCCATTTTTAAACACCCAAGAATGATAATAATTATACCCAAATCCTAACAAAGTTGTATTCATTCAGGTTTCTGTAGTCAAGTCCTGTTTATAAATCTGTTTAGTACATAAATCTTCAGGAGGCTCAATAGCCAATGGAGTAAGATGCGTGCCTGATAAGCCAAAGGTCCCTAGTTCAATCCCTACTCGACCTACATTTTTTTTCTTTTGTCGAAGGGATGTCCCTGGGATATCCTTGGGACGTCCTAGGGATATCCTTTCTTCGTACTTGGTACATCTCAGGGACGTACCAGAAGGACATCCCTAGGATGCCTCTTTTTGTGGAAAGCGGATGTCTCTGGTACGTCCCGACACAGGATATCCCAGGGACGTCCTCGTAGAAAATGAAGGACGTCCCTGGGACGTACTCATGTTGTTAGGGTAGGCTGAGATCGATTTCCATAATTTTTGGCATGACATGTTCTGTGACTGTAAGTCACGTTCTGAGATGTTTTTGATCATCATCAGTGACCTGCGAGTGTTTCAAACAACCATGTTGCCGTACAAATTTGGTGATATCTTTTCAGAGGTCGGACTGGAAACTTCTAGTTTTTTTTTCAGAAAGATATTCCCGTCAGAAATATTATTTGTATCGTGTCTCGAGCTTCATTTTCGAATGAATAATTTCTGATCTGAGGTATCTTATGCATTTTTTAGAAAAATAATCTGGTTGGGACATGGCTTGACTGTAGGCTCCTGGGATAAAAATGAGTTGATTTTAGCCAACTTACCTATATCCAAAATCGTTTCGTTGAGTTGGTACAAGGCTTTAAAGTGCTCACCTTAGGTCCTGAATAGTTATCGCTAAATTTATAACGCGAGATTTCTTGTAAAGCCCGCGAGGACCAGCAACATATCAGTTCGTTTACAATAAGAATACATTGTAGCCATGATCAATAAACAGTCCGACTAATTGAATTAATTTTCAAAAATGCGCAGGATGCATCATATCAGAAGTTATTTATTTGCAAATGAACCTCGGGACTTATCAAAAATTAACACGATACAAAAAATAATTCTAAAGGGAATATCTTTCTGGAAAAATAAACTGGAAGTTTCCAGTCCGACCTCTGAAAAGTTATCACCAAATTTGTACGGCAACATGGTTGTTTGTAACACTTGCAGGTCACTGATGATGATCAAAAACATTTCAAAACGTGACTTTCAGTCACAGAACATGCCATGCCAAAAATTTTGAAAATCGATCTCAGCCTACTCTTTTTATGAGCAAAATTATTTTTTCCAAAATAAACTTCAACGTAACCAGACGATTTTGGATATAGGTAAGTTGGCCTAAATCAACTTGTTGTTATCCCAGGAGTCCACAGTCGAGCCATGTCCCAACCTTTTACAGACACCCTGTATATATGAAGAAATTCATTGAGAATTCGCATTCTCCATGTGATGAAAATATTTATTCTTTCTCGGCTTATTCAACAGAAAATAACTACTTTGCTGGCTATATGCCACGACGAACATTGAATTATATAAGATATGCACATAACATAATTCTGAATATTCAACAGGAAAAAACTACTTTTCTGGCTATTTGCCACGTTGAACATTGAATTATGTCTGTTGAATATCCAAAAAGAGAGCATGAAAAATCAAAATCCTCTGAAATTGAGAATTGACATTATCTCTGGAATAGAATAATATGATGTATTATGATATGAAAATATGACTTACCAATATGTTCAGTATTGAATTGAAAATTGAAATGTATAGGAGAAGTATACTTGTAAACCGAGAAAGAATTAATATTTTCATCACATGGAGAATGCGAATTCTCAATGCAGTTCTTCATAAATGTATACATTTTTTATGTTCATAAATATATCTGAGAATATTCCTTTACAATAATTTCACCCAATCAAGGGGTGAACGATGAAAACTTGTTATTTTTATAGACCCCAATCGCAGATTCGTGATTAGGTTTTCTCAATTCCGAATTTTTCTCCACGGCCTGTATGATGAATATCAATTCATCATACATCCAAAAATTAAAAAAATCGAATTATTAGTTTGTATATCTTGTGTCCCAACTTCGATCCTCACCATTGGGATCTCGATAACTGTGAGAGATATAAAGAGTCGGTTGAATTAGGAAAGTTTCAGCAAATTTAATCGTGATTAAGAATCCGCCGAGAAATCTTGACTAGCTTCAGTCATTTCTGAGTTATTCAAGAGAAGCTGAAATTTTGTATTTAACCGACTCTCTATCTCTCATATAGTTACCAAGATCCTAATGGTGAGGATCAAATTTGGGAAACACTGTATACAGGGTGTTTCATTCATAAAACTTGGAGGTCAAATGTTATGAGTCAAAATAAGAAAATGATTTCATATTCACATATGTCCGAAAACAATTCATTTCCAAAATACTGGGTGCTGAAGTTCCTTAAAAAACGATTCTTCACTAATTTCTAGTATACGCGTGAACCGATGGTGATGAATTCCACAAGGTAAGTTGAAAGGTCTTTGGACCTAATACAATTGATAAAGTATTATCAGGGGCGTTCCCACGGACAAAGTCCGATAGTTTCTTGTACAAAACACCTATCAAGCTTATTTCAAATCTTCGCCATTTTTTTTATTATAAGCAACTCAAAATACATCCTTTCTGCTTTTTTTCGTATCGGGCTGCGTTTTAGGAGACAAAATAAAAACGAAATCTAAATATGCATTATTGTGAACCCGATGAGAGAGAACTGTAGTAATCAGAATCTAGTTGCCCGTTTACCAAATCAATCATGTAACCTTGGCGAAACAAGAACTAACGTACCAACCTGAGTCAACTCAAAAATTGATAAGAAATAGGTTTTTGTAAGAAACTTGAGCATCCTGTATCTCGGAAACGAATTGTTTTCCGACATATGTTTATATGAACCCTTTAACTCATTTTGACCAAAAAAATACGACCACGAAGTTTTGTGCAATATTAATGAAACATCCTGTATATTGTTACTCCTGAAATATGTTAATCGCTTCTTTGTTGATATCTGCATATTGATTATCATAACTCAACTCAATTCGCGAATTGAAAATTTGTCTTGTTTCAATGTTCTGAGAGAAAATTTGTTTGATCATGTTGAAGTTACTATTTTATTGATTATGATACAATTTTACTCACATCCATTATAGGTGCTAATTGATTCCTCGTTCTCTATAAAAAACCAATCGACAATTATTAATAAATGTAATTTTGATTTATTTTGGGTAGGAGATACACAATATGCATTGAATTGATATGGTGAGGAATGCGACACAATTAATTTTCAAAAAGTATATATTGCTTTCCAATGATAATCACCGTCCTTAGGCTTAACACATTCTCAAACTGGAAAACCCTGTATATCGCGGATTTATGCTTTAAGGTTAACGCAATAGTTCACCATACTAGAACACATTGGTGATGGATATGTGAGTTGGTTAGTGAGGTTATGAACGGTGTTTGTGTTTATTATAGTACCTAGCGCTGTTTTCGTTGAAAATTTATCTACCGATGGACTTTGCAGTCATTCTTCTTTGCTCTCAGAGTGTGAGGTATCAGTTTTTTTGAACAGTAATGTTTCGACGCTGATACTGCCCCATAACTTATCCCTGCCTTCTTCATATGAAATTCATTACAGAAGGAGAATGTCGTGGAATAACAACCCGAAATATTTTTTCTGCAGGTTTTAGGCGATGTTGACACTTCTTATTACGTGAAAATGCATGAATTTTGCATGAACGTATTCATCACAGAGGAGCGGAAAGTTGCAATCAAACGTTACTATAGGAAACGTATTTGTTTTCACATCCGCTCAAGCGATCGTTATCGGTGAGATGTAATAAGTGATGTGATCCCAGCAAGAGCGCCAAACTTCACCAGCGGCTTCTACGATCAAAAATAGGGAAAAAGGTTTCAATGAACATGTGAGACGAGAAATGTCTCATAAGGGAGCTACGGCCCCCTGAAAGGGGGCTCCTGAAGATGATATTCTTGAGTATTTCCGAAACTCCATGTGATAAAATGATCTGGAAATTTGGAACAAGAAATAAACTTACCATGCCCAATGCAGTGAGAATAAAATCATTTCAAAACTTTACTCAGGAGTGTATAATGATACTGGATAGGACTACATTGAATATTGGTCAAAATTTTTCTTATGCATATTTTTCAAAGAATTAATCTCGGATTATGAAAATCCACACCTCTGAACAAAAAAAAGGAACTCTTGTTCCGTAACGATCGGATGTATCACTATCGAGTAAAAGCGATTTAAAAATATTGTTACATCTCAGATATTAGAGAGTTGAAGTGTTGTCATGAACGTTAACGTAA